GAGAAGGCTCCAGGGAGACCTTAGAGCAGCTTCCAGGGCCTGAAGGGGCTCCAGGAAAGCTGGGGAGGGGCTTGGGACAAGGGCAGGGAGGGATGGGAGCAGGGGGATGGATGAAAACTGGAAGAAGGACATTTAGGTGAGACATGAGGAGGAAATTCTGGAGTATGAGGGTGGGGAGACCCTGGGACAGGGAAGCTGTGCAAGTTTTGGATGTCTTGTCCCTTGGGAAGTTTTCAAGGGCAGGTTGGATGGGACTTGGAGCAGCCTGGGCTGGTGGGAGGTGTCCCTGCCCATGCAGGGGGTTGGATCTAGATGATCTTTAAGATCCCTCCAAGCCACGTGGGGGGATTTTGGGGGTCCCCAGGGCGCTCACCCCCCTTCCTCTCCCCCCAGACATCCGCCTGCGGGTGCGAGCTGAGTACTGCCAGCACGAGACCGCCCTTCAGGGCAACGTCTTCTCCAACAAGCAGGACCCCCTGGAGCGGCAGTTCGAGCGTTTCAACCAGGCCAACACCATCCTCAAGTCCCGGGATTTGGGCTCCATCATCTGTGACATAAAGTTCTCAGAGCTCACCTACCTCGACGCCTTCTGGCGCGACTACATCAACGGCTCCCTCCTGGAGGCCCTCAAGGGCGTCTTCATCACGGACTCGCTCAAACAAGCCGTGGGCCACGAAGCCATCAAACTGCTGGTCAATGTGGACGAGGAGGATTACGAGGTTGGACGCCAGAAACTCCTGAGGAACTTGATGCTTCAGTCGGCTCCCTGAGCCCTGGGCCCTGAGCCCGGCCCTGTCCTGGGCCCTGCCCCACCCGGCTCCTTCCCTCTCCTTTTTTTTTTTTTTTTTTTTCGCTCAAACAAGCCGTGGGCCACGAAGCCATCAAACTGCTGGTCAATGTGGACGAGGAGGATTACGAGGTTGGACGCCAGAAACTCCTGAGGAACTTGATGCTTCAGTCGGCTCCCTGAGCCCTGGGCCCTGAGCCCGGCCCTGTCCTGGGCCCTGCCCCACCCGGCTCCTTCCCTCTCCTTTTTTTTTTTTTTTTTTTTTTTTCGTTGTTTTTGTTTGTTTTTCCTTCTCCTTTCATTTTTCCAAGAGGAAAAGCTGATGGAGGCCCCCCCGCCCGGTACGGTGCCACTGTGGGGGTGGGAGCCCCGGGGGCTCGTGTGTGTGTGTGTGTGTGTTTGTCATATTCCCCCCCCTTTCCTGTCCTATTTTCTTCTCTCGCTTTGTTTTCCCTTTTCTTTCTTTTTTTTTTTTTTCTCCTCTCATTTTGTATCCCTTAAAAACAAAGAAGGAAAAAAGGCACAAATCCTGCCTGGGGCCTGTGAGGGGCTGGGCGAGCCGGGGGGCTCGGGTGAGCTTTGTGAGGAGGGGGAGGGATTGGCCCCCCTTGCCCTAATGTCACTGTCTTGGCTGGGGTCCCTGGGCAGCATCCCCCC